CCCCTGTCTTCTAATGGCCAAAGAAGGCCATTTTACTCTTAAGTACAAATCACAGTGATGGGTCAGGTATTTACAATTGGTAATAAACCTCAAGGAAGCATGATACATCGTGTCCAACATTAGAAGACATGAAGAAGAAGCGTTCATATACAGAATGTCACCATAATCTAACACAGATAAAAAGGTTGCAGTGACAAGACGTTTTTTTACTGCAAAAGAAAAGCACTGTTTATTACGGAAGAAAAAACGAAGTTTAAGTCTCAGTTTCTTTACTAGTCTCTCTATATGTGGTTTAAAGGTGAAGGAGTCATCAATCCAGACACCAAGGTATTTATATTCATGAACTATCTCTATGACATTTCCTTCAAGGGTGGACACCACTGGAATAGGCTCCGGGACCTTCTTTGACTTGGAAAACAACATTAGCTTAGTCTTGTCAGCATTGAGAACTAATTTTAGCTGAATAAGTGAATGCTGGAAAGCAACAAAGGCTTTCTGTAAAGTTTCAATGGCCTGAGCAAGAGATGATCCATAACAGTAAATAACTGTGTCGTCAAAGGGCCAAAGCCTGCTGTAGTCCTTACACCACATTTGTCACATCTCCTGCGTTTCTGGCAGCTGTTCTGCTGACTGATGTGTTTAGAGGTCTCCATGTATGTGTTGGTATCACCTAGATCTAACCTATACTGCTGTCCTTTGTCTTACAAATAAGCTATACTATACTTTATACTATACTTACTATACTTTTCTTCTGAAGGCACTTCAGATGGTGTCGCTCCTTCGCTGGTGCTATACATTCTTTAGTTTTTGATTTCGCTTCATGTTTGGGATGCAGTGCAAATGACCAGACAGACCTTGACTTTAACATTGTTTTTTCAGATTCTACTGAGTAGGGAAAATGTATCATGAATACCAAAAGAGACACTGCTTATCATTCATTGCCTCTTACATTGTTAATGTAATGTGATACATCGCTGAATGAGAGGCAACCTGGCATCCAGTTTATCTTTATTTCTCCAAACTGGCAGCTACAGGATGAACTAAAGGTTCTTCTAAGGTTGTTCTTTCAATTTAGGCTGTCTCAACTGTTTGTGTCTTCTAATGCCATCCACGACTGGCTTGATGATGTTGACATCAGGTCTCTCCGGGGGCTGTACCATCTGTCACTGGACTCTTTGGTCTTCTTTTCTCTGAAGATAGACCTTCATGACTTTAGTGTGTAAGCAAATCTAAACTGTACAAAAGAATATGCACATTCATTTAAATGCACATAAATTTGCATAAAATGTGTTATTATATTAGAAATATTAGCTTAATGTGTGCAAGATAGGACTCAAGGTCACGTGCCCATATTTTTGTTGCTCTACCAGGTGACAGAGAAGGACAGTGAGTGTGTGTGTGTGGTATCAATGAAAAGCCTCATGCTGTAAATATAAGTATTAGTGCAGAGAGAAGTTTACTGCATAGTGTCTATGAATGTGAACATATTCACCAATACTTACATCTCAGTCTGAAATATGCATTGCAAATGGTGGAACCATCCGGGATTTTTTAATCATGTTATTTCTGATTCAACATCATTATATTGCAGATTGTATGTTTTAACTTAAAAGAATATTTGAGCAGCAAACAAAATAATCTCTTCTCACAACAAATGCGACATTCAGACTGACGCTAATCCCCCCACCCCAAGTATGAAATATTTGCTAGCTTTATTTAAACAAGGGCAATGTTGGCGCATGTTTTGCCTTTTGTTGTTTTTTATTTATTTATCTTGAATTTATATTAATATTCACACCAAATTAGTAAAATATTATTCAGGTTTAGCAGTTACCTCAGGCAGCCCCTTTATTGAAGCCAACAGCATGGCCTGTCAGGGCACGAACACTGGACACTCTGAGGATGTCCTTTGCTGTCTGGACACAGGATGTTAGCAGCAGATCCTTTTGGTCCTGTGCACATCAGGCTCTGGCTCTTTGTGAATCTTTCTTCGAATCATTCTGAGTGTGTCATGGTGCACTGTCCTGCTGAGGGAGGATGCTGCTGTCAGGGAGTGCCATTCCCACTGGGGCTGGGCATGCTTGATCTACAATACTGTTATTCAGCTGGGAAACCAGGTCTTTCTGTAAAAAAAAAAATACAATGTAGTGGAACAAAACGGCCAGCAGTATTGTTCCTGATTGAACTGAAAAGGACATTTTAATTGACTAATGTTCATCTGTATATCTAATTAACAGTATATTAGCTAATATCACTTTTGTAAAGCAGATATTAGTCATATTAGGTATATTTTCTTGTTATTCACAACACACTCTTTACTGTTAATCTGGATATATCATAAACACACATGTATACCTACACCTATACATGCTGGCACACACACACACATACATACTAGCAACATGCAAATATTCTGTCTGCATGGACAAGTGATATGATCTGTGCTTTGGTGCACTGTTTTTAGGTGTGATGATTAGTGCACAGCAGGTGCTAGCTTGCCTCATAGTCCCTGGAGTGGTGCTGGAGGAAATACCATCTAATTGCTGCAGGTGATAGTACCACACAATGAGGCGACTGACTTATAAAATGAAAAAAAGATAAAATAATGTGCTAGGTAAATCGTTCTTCCCCACTTGTGCACTTGTTGAGCAGAGAAAATGGGCGAGAACATTTTTACCAATGCCAATGCAAAAGCATTATGTAGTAGAGCAGGGCGATATGGCCAAAAATATTTATCACGATATATATTTGAAAATTTGCGATAACGATATAACTGACGATATAATTGATGCAAGACAAAATACAACTCCACAACATTACTAGCGCAAAAAGACAACCTTCCATTTATTTTCACTTAAACAAGAAGCTGGTTTTTATGTACATTAAAGCTTTATAAAAATGTAACAGTGCAAATGCAAATTCCTTGCTGAAAGTTTAACCAAAAGGCATTTCCAGTAGAAATGGGCTGACATATCCTGAGCATAACCATGTATAATATCCACTGAAGTTAAAAAGAGGTGCTTTGCAACATTAAACTGCAGTGTGCAGTACGTATTTTTCGGACCATAAGGTGCACGGGATTATAAGGCACATTAAGCGAAACAAAGCAGTCAGATAAATCAAACTTTATTAAACTCATTCTTCTTGCTTCCTCCACTTCTGTACCATTGATTCATTAATGTTGAATTCTCTGGCAGCTGCTCTATTCCCATGTTGTTGCAGTATATTAATGACTAACCTCGTATTGTGGATGGATTATCTCAGTTGTTCTCCTGACTGAAGTTTGGTCTGTTTACAGCATCCTGCCATGCGATTGCATTTGTCTCTAACCATGAAGAACCTTCACGTTAACTTTTATAAGTGGAAAAGTGTTAGTGTTCGTCCTCCAGCTTCACTGTTTATGTTATGCTAACATAGCTGTGTCGCTAGCGATCAGGTAGCACATCATTATATACCAGCTAGCCCAACTTCAGTAACCCTACAAACGTCACTGCTGTTTAGTTTCCTGTCTTCATTTATGCTGTAAGTGATAGCAGAGCTGTACATTTGAATTTTTTCAGAAATCTCTCAGTCAGAACATGCAATATCATGCTTAGGTAACTAGCGAAACTAGCGAGCTGATCGTTTTATTAAAGATGAAAGAATTTAGACAGTTTTTAACTCTCAGTGATGCTGCAGTGTTCGTTTGACCTGAAGGGGGGGTTTAGGACCCAGATTACTCCCAGATTTAAGAGCATCTTAGTCCGACAAATACGACAATAACGACGGCCTCTTGCATGTTCTGCAAAAAAATGTGTTTTGTCGTGTATCTGACGGACAAACACCAAACCAGTTCCACATCACTGAAGTTGCACCATTTTTACAAACCAATTCTGGTTCATCTGTTTCACTCAACAATCGGCCATGTGCGTATGAAAACAAAGGCACTGCGCATGCGCGTTTTACTCATATTCTATCGCAATATTTCATTTTCCTATCGTTGCCTAACATTATACCGGTATTACCGTGAACGGTATAATATGGCCCAGCCCTATTATGTAGTATAAGGCTTTGACCAGATTCCATGTATTTGAGCTAACCCGAGAAGATGACTACTTTACACTGTGGCTCGAAAACAGGAGTGTTTGCGAACTGATTTCTATCGACCGTGCTTACAAATAATACCAGTTTTTAGCTGCAGAACGACTGATCAGAGTCAGTTAAATCAACCCTGATTCTACTCTCTCTGGGTTAAGTGCGTGCATGGCGAATGAAAAACTTTATTATCAAAGGAGCTCCATCATTACAGTTCGCCATAGCAACAGGTAAATGCAAAGCAGACCCACCATTTTCATCCAGCGTTAGGTGTAACAAAGCAAATTTATCTTTAAAAAAATGTTATATTATTACATTCTTTTTCAGTGCGGTTCACATTTAGCACACTTGAATTTCTGAGAACTGTAAAAAAAGGCTTTTATATAGTCAGTGCTATAAACAGACACATGGTGTTCCCAACCCAAATATTGTACAAGTAGTGATAATAGCCATGCTATTTTGTGTTAAAGCTTGCTGGTGATGGTCCTACAGTAATTTGTTGGCACAATATTTGAATTTAAGCATGCATGTTATCTTTTTTGTTTTTAATGGAGCGCAAATATTTTAAAAGGTATTCATTTGTCTGCTGTCCTGTGTTGCTCTACTTAAAGACCACTCGCATAAGAGCAGTTAAAGGTGCAGTTTCAGTGCAGAGCAATACTCAATTTCAACATAACTGGACAAATCTCAGTATTGACTGACAAAGTGATGACTGCCCAGCAACAACTAAATTCAGCACAAACAGTGGATATCAGGATCGCCAGGATATCTGCTCATTCCTGTGTGGATCAGTAGATGTGGAGGTCATGATGATTCACATCAATGCAAGCGTGTGAGCATGTGTGTGTGTGTGTGTGTGTGTGTGTCATCCAGCAAAAGCCTTACTAACTCATCAATATCCTCTCACCTCTCTGTCTTCCACCTAGATGGTTTATAAGCCTTGGCTGTGTTCTCAGTACTTCCAGACCACCCAGATGCACTGCAGCAATCGAATCCCCTGTGGTCAGTACTGCCTGGAGGTGCAACAGCGGTGCCCCTTTGTCCTGCCCGACAATGATGATCTCATTCACGGAGGCAGCCCCAGTTTTATATGCACAGGTACAAAATAATCATTGTGCATTTGATATATTGTTGTGTTTGTAATTTTATCCTGTGTGCTTAAGCTTTAAGGTGCTCAGTGAAATTTCGGGCTAAGATATTGCTATTCTGGGATTCAAAGCCACACATCAATTTCCTTTAACCTCCCACCTACTTCATTTACCGCAGGCCACGCTCTCAGCTTGATTACAATGAGTAAGCACATGTGCTTAGCGTTTCACTCACAACCGCAGAAGAACAGGCAGAAAACACGTATGAATTTACACTTACAGGATGTTCTGACTAATCATCAGACTGACAGGAAGATACACCATAACAACAAATTGCTGCCAATTACTCATAGCTCCACGAGGCAGCTGCACGTTACAGCACTGAGACAATAGGTCCATATGCTCCGTCTGTCCTGCACAATACAAGGCGCTTTAAATGCTTCTCAGTGAAAGTTTAAGGTGCTTTCATTTGTGAGACGTGAATGTACCGGAGCCATCCGAAGGGATAAAAGTGATTTGCATTTCCATGTCTTTGGGATTTTAAAGCAATGTTTCAAAATGTCGTCCACTGGAAAAAATGCCAGATTCTGTTTAATGGTCCTGATCGGTGTTTGCAGCAGCAGGGTTTAAAAAAAACAGCAGATGAATGAGAGTGCTTAGCTGACCAATCACCGACAGTCTCTTATCCTTCAGAAACTGCTACCTCCTGAGTAGGCACAGGAACTGTCTCACCAGAAACTGAGAGCCTGTTTATTCTGTTAGAAAGACTGAGTTCCTGAGAAGATTCTAGTGGGGGGAACACGTTTATCACTGGTGTGTGTCAATACCGAATGCACTTTTTATTAATGCACTGCTCTAAATCATAATATAATAGCTAACCATGTCAAAATAGCACTTTTTCCCCACATACTGCTGTTCAACAAAAGTGCATTTTGTAAGAATTTTAAATCAGAACCTTTTATTTCACTAACTTGTGTATATTATGCTAATGCAAATACAAACTGAAGATCTACATATATATTTAAGGTCAAGCTATCTAAGAGCTAACAGGGATCTTGCAGCCTTGATGACTGAAACGTAACCAGAAGCCCTCGAGTTGCTTCAGTTTAACTAGAAAACCAAATCAAAAATTAACCAAGCAGAACCTAATTTTTAGTCAAATCACCTCTGGTTCCCATGACAGCAGCATAATGTTGAGGTATTGACAGGAACAAATACTGAAGATAATCAACCAGTAGTCTCTGATTCTTCTCTGTGACGAGCGACAGATGCCCCAAGATGCCAAAAGTTCAGAGGATTAAAGCATGATGCACTTTTCTTTGAACAACTCTATGTGGGTTGAGTCCCCACTGGCATCATATGTTGATGCTGCCCTCTGGTGGTCATGTTGAGCATGAGGTTACTTTACAACAGAGACAAATAAGATGTGATGAATCAGTTGCCAGTTTGTGGCAGTTTTTACTGAGACATATATGATTATAAAGAACAATCAATATGGCCGTTTTTTCCACAGTAAATTCAAACCAGTATTCTTTTCTTTTCAATGTCAATGTGTCTTATAAAAAGCCCAACATCAGTAACCAGTGTTGGGAAGGTTACTTTTAAAATGTATTCCATTACAGAATACAGAATACATGCCCCAAAATGTATTCTGTAACGTATTCCGTTACGTTACTCAATGACAGTAACGTATTCTGAATACTTTGGATTACTTAATATATTATCATGCTTTTTACAACAACGTGAATGTACTATTGCTGTGTGATTTATTACTATTACTGAAGGTCCGCGACTTCGAACTGTAGTAAAGGGACCTCTGACTAATACGGCGGGGTCCCTGTCGGCTCGTAGCCGAAAAATAGCTTTACTTTGTTGTGTGGGTCAACTTTTCTTGCGAGAGACAGAGAGAGGCGTTGAAAGACTGCTCCAACGGAACTTATTGTTTTCGGAGGAAAACACGAACACGGTGTACAGTCGAGTCTTAATAGCTTACTTACAACTGGGCTCGTCAGGCACTCTTCTTGGCTGCAGTGGTTATTATTATATTTACATGCTTCCAGCTCCCGTTTTTCCTCAATGACAACTTGTACCTTTCCACTCCCCTTTTTCTCCCTCCTCGCGCTCACAGACCCATAACGTGTATGGCAGTCCATTCTCCCTGCAACACGGACTACACTGCCCATGATGCTGCATTCTTTAGAGCTATGCTTGTAGCATTCAGCCTGTTAGCTTAGCACAACAACAACAACAACGAAAAGGCTCTCAGGAAACACACAGTCAAAAGAGAGAGAGAGAGCGTCGCCCTGTAACCATGGCAACCGTAACGCTGCCGCCTGGAACAACAGCACGAAGCTGTCTAACAAAACCCAAACAGTCCTGACCCGCGACAATATTAAACAGGAAAGTACCGCAGTGTAATCCATTTATTTCAACAAAGTAACTGTATTCTGAATACCACCTTTTTAAACGGTAACTGTAACGGAATACAGTTACTCATATTTTGTATTTTAAATACGTAACGGCGGTACATGTATTCCGTTACTCCCCAACACTGTCAGTAACATTAAACAGTAAAGTAACATGTAAAGTTTTCTCTCGCTCCATTTTTTCTCGTCCCCTTCTAAAACAATTTATTTGGAGAAATTTTTTTAAATAGTATGCTCCTCAAACAGTTGGTAACTGTATTTATTTATTCATCTATTTATTTTTGCTGTGGCTTAATAAATTAGAAGTTACTAACACACATTCAGTAAATATTTTTGGATGCTGATTTAATAACTACATTTTTGCACTAATGAGTATTTATGGATCCAGAAGAGTTTATGGACTTTTTTTCTTACCAGAGGCAGCAAATTAAATATGTGCTCTGTACATTATGACTGATTATAGGAGAGGGTTATAGCTTCTGGAGCTCTTTCAGTTTTATCTGCTGTGTCTTTGCATTGTATATGCATATGTGTGTCAACTGTAATCCAAAAATGGGGGCTTTGTCAGAGACAGGCAGTAACTATATTGTTCCTCTTCTTGCAGGTAGGTTGCAGACAGGAAGCAGCAAACATTTTTTTCTTTCTTTTGCTTTAAAAAAAAGAAAGAAGCAAAAACAAGTATGAATTTATTAAAAATGCTACACAGAAAAGTGCATTTCTCACTCTTTTTTTCTTTACATCCCTCCAACCCCAAAAACAACCTCCAGGGCTGCTGGAAGACTATCCATCAGGTGTGGACCCAGATGCAGAGTGCTGTGACGTACGGTGGTACTTGAAAGCAGACAACCGTTCCCGGGGGACCCTGAAAAGAACTCACCCACCATGCCAGCACCGTACCTCCCTCAGCTCCTCAGCAGCCTGCAGACTGTGTAACAGCCGGCTCAAACTCTGCCTGCTGGTCCTTGTCCTCCTACACACTGTTGCCAGCCTCACAGCATCCCACAATGCAACAGGACTGGGCCTCCCCACCATCACGCCTCTGGAGGAGAGCCCTGCCAACGAGGAGTGATAGAGCTGCCAGGAGAAGGTGAGGTTGTTGGGGTGGGGGATTCCCTCACCATGGCAACCGATGTGGAAAAATACAGCCACAGCTGTGCAAGCGGCTGGAGCTGTACGCCTGTGGACATCCTGCAACGCTTTCTGGCAAATGGAAAATGTGGGACGCTTTGATATTAAAAGACACAGGAATCAATCAAGACAAATGAATAACTAAACAAACAGACATACCGCGGGGTTCAAACAGTCCCTTCTGTAGGGAAAGGGGACAATGCCACAGCCTTTGTTGAGAGGGAAGGTCAGCTTCCTCGTGGCTGAGTTTCTCTCACTACGCTTTTTTACACTGTGTTCCAATTATTGGTTTGTGTTGCACTGGCTAACTATGGAATAACACAATCATATTCACTTTTTAATGTTCATCCTTTGTCTTTGTTTCTGAGTCTCTCATAGAGGAAGGAAATGTGTCTGCCTCGAAATAAGACAGACAACGTGTAAAGAAAAAGAGGAATATCTTGCAAGTTTGTCTGTGTGTGCGTTTTCTAGATTTACTTGTGTGCGTGTGAGCATGTGTGTGTAAGAGAAGGAGTGTGTGTTGCGGACACAAAAGTCTACCTAACAGGCTGGTACAGCAGATGATTTTTATGGAGGCCCCCTCAGATGTCACTTAGCTCTGCCATGGTGTTTTGATGGCCACAATCTCATTAAACACCACTGACTTTTTTGAATGTGGTTCTGATGTCCATAATAAATACAGTGTTTAACGCAGGTTTACAGTTTCCCCTTAATTAGTTTTGTGAGATAACATTGACCCATTAATGTTGCTTTTAAATCCAAAATAGCAAAACCTGGCATTAGAAACCAGGACAGGACAGCCCGTTCTGTTTTTCCAATGCTTTAAATCTCAGATGAGCTCTTTTTAATACAACATGGGTCTTTTTACTAGCTTTGACCATAATTCCTTATTTTTGACTATTCAATCTAATAGGTTTGATCAAATATAAAATGTAAAATTTAGGCCATATGCATATGCACGGTTCTTTGCATTTAGGTAACTGTCATGAAGACTTCAGGTGCCAAAGAAATGGATTAGAAAATGTGCTTATCTGCTCTCCATTGTCTTTGTTACCTCAGCGAATGTTGTAGCATCATTACTACTAAGTGTCATCTTGACGAATAGAACCGACTGTCAAAACTACAAAAATGAAATCCAATTTGTGGTGAGCCAGATGAAAGCTTTAGGTTCCTATTGTGACAGGGCTGAGCCATGTCAATGACAAAATTTACAAATGATTAGAATTTTAAAAGGTTAAAAGTTTTTTAGGGGTTACTTCCAGGATTTTGGATCACTGGATTTAAAATCATCATGTTTTTAATGCAGGGAAAATATTAAGTAAACGTGAGCTGTTTTCACACTTCCACTGCAGCAATGAACTTCTCTGGACATCCGGTTACGGGGCTGCATGCAGAATGCAGATGTTCTCATTAAATAGTTCTTAACCTGCCGTAACACTGTCTGGAGTTAATGTGTGAAAATGACAACAGTGATTCAAGTAAAGCAGGGTGGCGAAAAGTTCATTTTTGTCAGCTTTTTAGAGTGGATGTAAACCTGATGAATTATTATACCTGGAAAAATGATCACCTTTGTTAGTGTACACAAAAGTGTAAGATTCAGAGATCGGGCAATTTTATCTCACCAAATGAAATTAAGCCTATGCTTGTCTTAATCAAGGATATTATTTCTTATTCTAAACATACTCCTCTTGTCAGCAACATGGCTGAGCAAAGCTGACTGATGCTGGGATAAAAAAAAACATTAGATCAGTATATTTAGCACTGTTAAACCAGACATAAAAAGACTTGCTCTTTTTTAAGGTACCATCCAGTCAAATAGTGTCTGCAGCATACAAACAGCATTTAGTCTGAAGGCCGCTCCTTTCCCCTTAAGCCTTGGATCGGCTTCTTCACCTTGACGTGGGTTCATAATAAAAATGTAACAGAAATATGACTAATAAATTACTCTAGCTATGAATACTACTTGAAAACAAAAACTCAATTTGCTGTTTTCCCCTGAACCAAAACCTAACCTCAGGCTTTTTATTCAAAGGAAACACAGTGACTGGATGTTACCTTTAATGACCTTTCGTAATTTGTAAACTATAACTCCCATGCAATTATAAAAAGGATAAAATGTCAACATCTCATTAGGCACGGTAGCTCACTACCTGCAGCTACTCCGGTTTCTTACACTGTATTCCTGCTCCCCGGCCCCTTGTGCTGAGCTGGTCCCATACGACACACAGACTGACATTCCCCATCTGATAACCACAGCGCAGTTCTGACATATCTGTTGAATCCAAATGTGTATTACATGAACTGCATGTGGAGGCGCTGCAAGGTTATGAAAGCCTCTTTTGTTGATTGTCTTCAGCCCCACTCCCTGAATGCACCACATCTTATCCCAAATCGGCTCCTGTGGCATGCCCACTGTCTTGTACTTTTTCTCCTGACATGTCAAACTCCTGTCTCATTAAGTAAAGGGCTTATTAAGATATACAGATCAAACGCCATCAAAACAGACATCAAGCACATTCAAAAAGGTTGCATCCAAATTGTTAGTAGACAAAAGGTAAAAACCTGGCTCATTTATTATTACTGTTATTGTTATTATTTTGAACTCATGCGGTTTCAGTACAAAGGTATTCCGCCGGCTGCTACTGGAAAGCAGAAACAGAAACAAACACAGAGAGAGGAGCATGCCATTGTTTGTGTTTGCACCAATCACATTATCTGTGATCATCTAGGTCCGCTAACACTTTGATTTATAAATGTTGACCTGTGTGTGAAAAGAGAGGAATGGTTTGACCTTAAGGGCTGACTTCTTCTTTTGTTTCTGGTTTTATTTTTTGTCTCTTTGATGAACAAGGCTGTGAGATCAGGTACATGGTAAAGATGAGCAGATAAACAGCTTTTGCTGAATGAATTTTTTCCCCCCACTCTCGAATATGTTTATTGCTTATATGAGATGTCCAGTCTGATATCTGATGTCAACACTTTTATTATTAACCTTATATGAGGATTTAAAAGTCATCATTATTCACACAATTTCTATATAATAAGTATATTGGCTTATTTTGGCACTTACTGTTTAGACCCTGCCTCAGTCTCATTACCATTGCTGCTTGCTTGAAATGCATACATAACTGTTTCATGGTCATGCGGCACGGCACACCCATGCCCATCATAAATGACTGCTTCCGGTTTCAGAACAATGCTGCTATACCATTGGCCACCACTAGATGGCAATAGATTTATTCGTTTCCACTGACACTTCTGCTAAAGACCTACCACAAAAGGTCTGACAGATACACGGAAACCAGGAAGGCAGAGCTCCATGTGTGCTGCTGTGTGCTCTTCTTTTGTTCTTATACATAGATGTAGGTTAATGTCTCTGAGTCTCTTTGGAGAGCTCATTTGTGTTTAAATGACCTCGTGGCAGTGGGACAGGTGTGGCAAACCACAGCTGTCTTTCACCACACAGGGTCTTGCAACATTACCTATATGATATTAGCTGCAGTCCTGAAGCATGCATTTTAGTGTGAAATCAGTACAGTGATTGCACATTAGATTGTGTAATAACTGTGTCATTGCCCCAAAACAGACTCTGTATTATTTGCATTTTTCCGTTCTCGTCTTAAGGAAATATTTCCCCCAAATTTCCATAACATGAAATGCAGTACAGGATGTGCAGACAGCGGTTAATGGTGCCCAAGCATAAATAAATAAAATTTAAAATACAGCATGACATAGTGCTTTTCATAATGACACATAATGGACATAAGAAGGAATACAGGGTCTGCAAGAAATGCTAGCAATACATAGATTGCCCCGCAAGTGTCATGCAAGCCTTGTCACAAGCACATGTAAAAGATGAGTCCACCTTGAAGTGTAATATGTTCAGCAGATTGTGATTTCATCCTGCCGTTAATGGCCAGCGGTCATGCTGCGATCCAGCAGCCACCAAAAGCCAACCGGCGGACACGCCTATTCAATAAACCTGCTTTCAGAAGTCACGCAGAGAACATGATTGCTTTACACGCAGCAGAGCATCCTGACTGTGGTTGCATGGGTGCGAATGCTGTGCATATGTGTCATCTATCACACGCCTTCACACATGTTTGCACCAGGTATGGACATTTCTGTGTGCAAGATTACTTCCAAAAACAAACAAAAAAAGAATTAGATTTGACTGATGTAAATCTCTGATTTGACTTTTGTTGGTAATGCAGGCTTGCACGCAACAGTTACTCTGTGATAATTTAATTTTTTTGTATGTATTGGTTCGTCAAATTTTTTACTGCATTATAATGAGAAGAAATTGTGTAGGGTCTTATAGATTCAGACTAGATCCCAGACAATGGTCTGTAGCGATCATAGGTTATGGTCTGTCACGTTCCATTACACACTAACGTACAAAATCGAATTTTGTGTTTTACCCCTGCACATATAGAGTATTTATGCCTCTTGCCATTACCACCCTGTGCACCCACCACGAAATAATATGTACACAAATATTGCCCTCTTTCACTCTTTCTCAGCCTCTCTCTGTTTTCACAATAGTTCTGTTCTCTATCCTGTGGATCTATGCAGAAGCCCATTCCTTTTTTTGGTTGTAAATATGTTCCCTAGTATGCTGAACAATGTATGTCTCTCCTTGTGTACTTTGAGTTGATGTCATGCTGTTACTTTCTTCTTCTTCTTCTCCTTCTTCTACTTCTGATCCTTTTTTTTATTTAAGCGTCTCAGATCATTGATGTTAAAAGAGAGTGTGGTGAGGTTTAACCAATAGACTTGTCCTCAGCTTTGCAACCTTATTGTGAAAGGTTGTGGCTTTGTGTGTGCATAAGTGAATGATTTATGATTATAGAGATGAAAAAGGTTCAAAGGCATATAGAAATATCATTGCGATTATGATTATTATTATTACTATTATACTACCAGTATATTGTAATATTATAGATGCTTTAGTTCAAGTAACTTCTTTAATTTTTCTACAAACAACTTTGATGAAATGATTTATAAAACAGTCTCACAAGTCATGATCTTTTCGAAAAGTATGAAAACTACTGCTACAATGATTAAAATTGTGTTCTGATGAAAATAAATACAGACATATAATCTGTTCCTCTGTGGTGCTTTTGCATGATGTGACTTGCTTCCAATCAACGTACAAAAGTAGTGGTGAACACAACGCACTAACCATACAAAAATGATATTCAGGGTTTTAATAAAGACATAAAGACATGTTTTAAAAAGCAAGGACAGTAGGAGAAGCAAAAAACACGAGTTAACATCTAAAATTATTTCTGAACAGGCAGTTTCTACAACCTTTAAGCTGACGACACAGGCTGCAATAACAGAACTTTGCAGGAAAGTAACAGTGCTGACAGCAGCTACCTTGGCAGCACTCTGCTGATGTGTGCAGCAAAGGATATGTACACTGCTTAACAGATTAATTAGATCACCCATTGTAAGTTAATGCTACAGCTGCCCTCAGTGAATAGCATCAGTAATTTTCAAAATTGCTTTTATGTTTCTGTAATGGTTAATTCACCAAAATGCATAAGATCTTTCATTAAAGTTATATTTTAAAGGCTAAAATATAACTATTTTTGTTACCCATGAATTTTCACATTTACAGTTTCACATAAAAGCATAAAAATTACAAAAATATAGCAAAACATATACTGGGACATAAAGTGTGCTATTTTACTAATAAACAACAATCAAATGTTTTGTTTTAAAGAACTTTTGACAGATTTGTAAAATATTTCTGTTTTCATTTTATGACAAGTGGTCTAAGAAATGTATTAAGCTTTTTCTTTTGAGTCTCATAAAAGAAAAAAACACAATTATATCATAAATGAAATAAAATCAAATCCAGTATTGTACAAAAACAGAAAAAAAAATCATTAGAAAAAAAATTGATTATGCCAGGAAAATGTTATGATTCTCTACCATAATTGTTTAGCACATAAGGCCAAAGTAAAACTCATATAAAATCTAAAATAATGAAAATAAGTTAAGTTTTTTGCACAATTTTGTTTTATTAGTCAACCATAAAGTTTGGTTATTTTTATCAATAGCTACACATTCCTGTGCCACAGTATTGCTTAAACATGCAGTTCCATTTACAACCTTGAGATGGCAGTGAAAGTACATTAAATGTAGCTTATGCTGTCATATATTAAAAAAATAGAAAAAAATAGAAAAAAATAGAAGGATAACCACAGGGATCATGAATGAATGCTTTATGGAGATTTAGCCACATCAGAGATGAACTGTGCATATTATCACTTCAGCAGAGAGGTGGGTTTGTGTATTTATCTGATTAGAAATACAGCACATCATTTAAATTCTGTGCATCGAAGGTGAGAGTTATGGCAGAGGAGTGGATCCATTTTCCTATTACACATTATGAAACTGCTGACCAAGAACCAGTGAGGCCAGTAAGATCAATTGCATACACACTCACCATTAATAATTAATGTCGCAGCACATGCATTTATTCAGTTGCTTACTGAGCATCAGATACTACAGCTCCCCTGAATTTGAATGATAATGTGCTATACTCTGTAAGGGAACTCAAAGGTGTTTGGATTAATATTTCTTGTGGTCCATGAACTATGTCACATTATGTGAACTGAATTATTGAGGGTCACTGAGAGCCATTGAGATATATTGCCTACAGACAGTCTCAGAACTCGGTGCTATTGTAATGGAGGATTATAAAGCTAAAGAACAATAACAAAGGGCATATTCTTGTTTACCTTCCGCTCTGTGCCACAGGCCCTTCCATTTTGGATTAAAGCCCTCATTTCTATTTCAGCTTGTTGGGGGGGATGAAGTGCTCAGCGGACTAATCCTCAACTAACCCGCCAATAGTCTGCATCCAATATTCCACCTGTCATTCAAACCACAGCCTCTGTGTGTCTGTGTGGTATTAAGAGGCCACGTGGTTTTAAAATAGAGGTTGGTTGCTGGATTTAGTGATAAATGTAAAGTTTAATGGATATCTGATTTTTAAATCCTCAGAGAACATTTCTAGTTTTAGTGTGTGAGACCTTGAAAGAATTGTGATACCTGTGTGTTGTGATATATTCACCAACAGAGGTCAGCACAATGCTGCTGTTAGAGGAAATGTAAAGTTCTCCAAAAACGTATAACCAATCAGAATGGCTCATCCAGTCTATCAACCCTCTGAAAACTCCACGTAGCCGTGTTTCAGGAATTAGCACTCCAAAGAAGTAGCAGCAAATATTTTTCACCTCTAATTAGTGATTAGTAAGATTTCACGTCCTCTATTCCTGCCAAAGGTACCATAGCCACAGGAGGGCACTGTCACGAAACATAACTACGTACAGTATGGGTCATAATCACTTTTGTGCACAAATGAGAATTAACCAGAGCCGACCAGCTCTAGTTTTGATTTAACATCACTGTATGTATCCTTTATGTAGGTGTGAGAGCCCTCTGATAAATGCAGACCTTGCGTGTGCGTGTTTCACAATATTAAAGCTTATAAAGCGCTTATGTAATCGTCGCTCGTAACAGTTTTAAGCCAAGTCTTGGCACATCCTGCTGTGTTTTTTTGTTTTTTTTTACTTATTTTTAGAACACAGTTTGTGTACTGTCTGAATTCAGGTATTAAAAAAGAGGGGATGGGAAGGGAAGCAACATTAGGAATACGAGGATTTAAGAGAGATGATCTGCCTGAGAGGAAATTGTAGCAGCTCATTCATATCCGTGCTGACATATGGAAAAGTGAAGCTCTTTATGTTTCTCCACTGATCTGCAACAATTCACTGTTTTGAGGGTTGAGTAAATAGTTAAACTAACTATTAAGTGTCACTTAAGCAGACCAGCCCTGTGTTATAAATACTGCTTATCTGTGAGTAACATTTTGTTAAGTGTCAGTCAAAAAAATCTCCTCTGTTTCTCTTGAGGTGCTTCCAACCTCAAGGCCTGTTTGGCTTTTAGTTCCCCTGGTCAGGGACCCCTGGACAACAACTGGTCACCAGTGAAAATGTGTATTCTGTGACCAGTTGGGGAATGCCTGCAAGTTCCATGCTTGATATTGGTTGCAACAACCTATTGCGTGTTGCAATTGCAATTGCTATGGTCTACAGTCACCAGTAGTTAGCATGGAATACACTGACATGTCTGCAAATATCTGCTAAAACTAGCACAGCGGTAGTTACACTGAGAAAATTAGCCTGCAACCGCTTGCTAACTGTGCATGCAGGGTGTATATTTTTTCCCCCGCGGGCCTGTGTGACTGAGGCATTACTCAGGAAGTCTTGATGTGTGCTCAATCATCCAGGTAAGGAAATCCCAAAAAGTTTATTCTGTTCACCACAAAACTAACAGCTAAGAGTATTAGCATTATAGAGTTAGTCTAATGGATTGCCAGCATCTTTTCTGCTGTTAAAACAGGCCACATGAGCACAGACAGGAGAGCACGGGAAAGACATTCAGCAAATAGCCTGGGGTGGAACCCAGCCCTGCATTAGCCTTATGGTATAGAGGTTAACTATTCAACCCAGTGAGCTGCTGGCACCCTGACTTATTGCAATCTTGAGAAACCAGTCCGCTGATTCTCACAAGGCTCCTCAATAATGTGAAAGGACAGTTACAGTATGGACATTTTGAAGCATAGCCATCATGGGCTCTGTTTTACAGTTTTCTATGGCCCCTGACTTTCAAGAGGTAATATACTGAAGAAGATATAGACATGTCTGTGTGAAGCCACAGCAACATCCCACAGTATTATGCAATCCTAACCCAACATCTTTAATCCCCAGTGGAACGGCTGTGCAGAAATTACAAGCAGCGATTTGGTGTAGTCTCAGGACAACTAAGAAGAGGGGAGGGAAACATATTTATACAATTGGAATTAAAGTCAAATGCACAGTCCAGAGCTTTCAAAATCAGTGGATTTGTGCTTTTTTTTTTTTGCTTTGATTTCATTAAAACGTTTTTTTTTTTTTTTTTTTAAAAAAAGACAAATTTTCCAGTTTTTATATAACTGAGCAGTGACATATGTTAAAACTCAGTCTTTTCAGTTTTTCTTGTCTGGACTGTGGACATGTTTATTTCTGATATAAGGGTAAGGCAGTTTAAGGGAATTAACCTATTTCACAGCCTGTCTAAAATTTGAAGAACGGCGTGTTTGTGTTCATTTTTCAGCCTTGTTGGCTTCTGGCAAAATAAGATGTAAATTGAATAAAACACAGTTATGTCATCACATAGTTTTATATTTTTGGCAAAGTCACACAAAATAAAGCAGGTAAGAAGGTAACACAGCTGTATGAAGTCAAATGAAGAGGCTAAAACTAGCATTAAGTAAAACTGTATAAAAAATATAGACATAGTCCATATGTCACCTTCTTAGAGGTTTGAAACAGACTGTGAGGATGTTTATATGGTAGCCCCACCTAAAAGTTAACCCTGCTACTGTAATGGGATCATAATTTACAAAATAAAGACAACTTGTGTTCAGTGATGTGTGAAACTAACAATTACGACCATAAACTCACCCAAAAAGTCTTTAGTGAAGCCAAAGATCAAGTGGGCAGAAGGGTCAGATTGTACAGACTTGGATAAAATTAAATGTCTTTTTGTAGCAGTAGTTGTCCCCTGGTGACTGTTTAATAACAGTGTGGGTTTAAGGTATCTGAACATGTCATACACACACACACACACACACACACACACACACACACACACACACACACACACACACACACACACACACACACACACACAGCACAGTCTGGAAACCATTTCTCATCCCCATCATCGTCACCATGGTAGCACTTCAAAGAGCTTGTCTAAAGCTCTAATGTGCAATAAGAGGTTCTTAGAGATGCACCTTGAAGATGGGTCAAACAAACACTTCCTTTCCATTTATGATTCTTTCTCATTTTTGCCACTTCTTGTTCATCAAAATCAGATAAGAGACTGTGGACCATACCAACGTCATACTGAAAGGATATCTTTATATGTCAAAGCTACTGTGATATGAAGGAGATGCAAAAGAAAGGAGCCAACAAACAAAGTGCAACACTGGACTAGTAATACTGTATGCATTTCAGCTA